CGAAACGTTTTCAATGTCAATATGGCGAATTTGCTTGGCGTTTTCTTTGCTTTTAAAGTCCTTGGTAATCTTGTTGGATTATAGACCACACGCCAACGCCCGAATATGGCAATCATTGTGCTCATAATATTGCTTGCCGAGGCCGCCGATGCAGCAGCCTTTGTACGTCTTCAAAAGAAGCTTCTGCGGGAACATGATAGGAGCTAATACATCGAATGGCTGCGTAGCGAGGGTATCATTTCGCCTGACCCCGGGCCTATACTTTCAAAACTCGCTAAGTGAACGTAAGTACTTACGCTCTATTTTCTTGTCTATGATTGGTGTATTTGGCTTGAAAGGCTGTCAATGATTGGCTGATGAACTTACGATCTCTTAACTTTTTTTGAAAGTATAGGCCCTGGCAGGTCATCGGGCATAAATAAAGTATACGAGAGAAAATATGTACTGACAAATATGTTAGTATGTAATATTATACGTTAAAATATGTTAGATGTAAAATGTTGTATGTTAAAATATGTAATAATAGAAAATAAGTTAGGAAGTTTCGTATCACAGGGATTCAAAATATGTGTTTTTATTGTAAAGAGATGAGATCGGGATTTAAATGAAAGCAATGTCTTGCCCTCAGGATATCGCCCATGCAATATGCGAGATATCGAAAGCATTTTGTGGCGGAACTAGAAGGAAACAATTCAGTAAATCACCGTGTGAAATGGGGGGCAGGCTTGCAAAATCTTTACACCACTGCTTTGCCGGCACTTCATATGGATCAACATCGTTAATGTCTAGCAATTTTCTTAAATAACGGTCTCTAGCTGAAGGAAGTAGTTTTTCACAATAGCTTAATCCTTTCTGCTTTGCTCTTTCTTTCTCCATTGTCACCATTCACCAAAACATCCAACCGACTGAAACGAGCAAGAACGAAAGAATGGTCTACAAAGATGGCGGCGGAGCAACGCGGATTACTTGGAAACGCGGGAGCTTGGCGAGCCCGATTAAGGGGACCATTAGTAATATAGTTAGTGAGATGTTAATCTTGTTTCTATATTATCAGTCTGCTTATATCGCAAGTTCACAAGGAATTTAAAAGCAAAGAAAACGACAAGCAAATTCACCATATCGATATTGAAAACATTTCAGAGTCTAGCTCCATCATATTAGACATAAGAATCAGTTCGACAATCTAAAAATGATCATTTTTAGATTGTCGAACTGATGATGGAGCTGGACTCCGAAACGTTTTCAATGTCAATATGGCGAATTTGCTTGGCGTTTTCTTTCCTTTTAAATTCCTTGGTAATCTTGTTGGATTATAGACCACTAGGGAACATGATAAGAGCTCATACATCGAATGGCTGCGTAGCGAGGGTATCATTTCGCCTGACTCCAGCCGATGCAGGTCATCGGGCATAAATAAAGTCTACGAGAGAAAATATGTTAGTATGTAATGTTATATGTTAAGATGTGTTAGTTTGTAATATGTTAGTATGAAATATGTTAGTATGTAATGTTAAGTTTTAAGTTCTTACGGTACTTCGTCAAATATATTGTCCGCCTGGCGCGTGTGTGTCATGCGCAGCATAGCTTTAGTCGATTTTAATTAACGGTTATGGTTCAGTTCGATGCTGGCTCTCGACTTACCAGGTTGGGGGAAATATTTGGTACGTATTTTAATTAGGAATCGTGCACTGAATACTTACCTGCGATTTTAAGATCAATGTGTTCATAGTCGATATAAAGTGTTTTACTTAGCTTAGTTACCACATGTGCAATACTAATTTTTACTAATGTTCCCCATTGTTTTGTTTGTTTCGCAGAAACCGATTTTAATAAGAAAGTACGAAAAGTCGCGTTTTTCAAATCCTTCGTAACGAATAAGATGCTACATGTAATATGTTATATGTTAAAATATGTAATAATAGAAAATATGTTAGGAAGTTTCGCATCACAGAGATTCAAAATAGGTGTTTTTATTGTAAAGAGATGAGATCGGGATTTAAATGAAAGCAATGTGTTGCGCTCAGGATATCGCCCGTGCAATATGCGAGATATCGAAAGCATTTTGTGGCGGAACTAGAAGGAAACAATAGAGCAGCCCGAAAGAGGCCAAACAAGTTTCTTCCAAAAAAAATTAAGTTCAATTATTTGTAATTAAAGTAAAATTAATAACTTTGCATCAACAATTCAAATTTAGTTAAAACCTAGGTAAACAAGAGACCAAACAATTTTCTTCCAAAAAATTTAAGTTCAATTATTTGTAATTAAAGTAAAATTAATAAATTTGCATCAATTATTCAAAGTTAGTTAAAAACCTAGGTAAACAATTATTAAAGTGACGAAACAATTGAACAAAATTTAATATACATCATGAATATTTTTAATGATTTTTCTAGAAATAAAAAGAGAAACGGAAATTATCTTCGGGCATTGTTGCCGATTCCCATGTATACCTCCTATATACTTACCGATTAAGTTTATTGGTACAGGGGTCCACACCACTGAGTGATTTGCAAATAGAATTATTTGCAGTTTATCTAGTGACTTTATAAACTGATTCAGCAATGTATAGTTGGTTACATATATCCTACATATACCTATTCTAAAAATTATGCTACATTTTTCTTGGAATATATAGGCTATATAAGATGAGAACAAGTTATTAACACTAAGCCGAGACCGCGAGGTGACTCGATTCACAAAATGTTCCGTATACGTTAAAAAAAGTGCACGATTTTAAAGTACTATCGAGTACATTTTATTTGCAAAAAATCGGCGTGATTGTTTTACGAAAAAATAACGGCCATATAATGTTAAATACAGACATAGAAATGGATAATAAATACGTCGTTAATTAGTCTTTCTTTTCATATTCATGTGGAAATAAATATGTGTGTTGGAATTTTTATCGTAGAAGTGGAAACGATCCACGAAGAATACTGTTCTTTGATATATAATTATAATAATTTAGACCTAAATTCATGTTACCTGAAATATATGCGCTATAATGTGGAAAATGATTTAGATGTAATTGCAAATTGAAAAGTCTACGCATTATGTGATGACGAAATCACGATTTATCAATTGAATAAATTGTTCTAGAGGATACAGCAAAAAATTTATCCGTTGTCAAAGCACTTTATTCAGAATTATCTAGACATTAGAAGATAGTTAGCCATTCAACTCAAGCTATATTTGTACCGCTGCGAAATACCAACCAATCACCATGTCGTTGACGCGAATTAATGATATTAAGTTTCAATTTCGGCGCACTGCTTTAAAACTAACCCATAACAAAGAAGAAGAAATAAAACACATTAAAATCTCACGGACCAGACGATGGACGAGCTAGAGCGACAAATTACTCTAGTTCCGATATCACTTGTAAATTTACTATAAATAATCCGATGTTTGATATCTCCTTAGCATCAAACTAATACATACACGTATAAATATATATTGGATGTTTTGTACCGGTTGCAAAGGGATTGTTCACAGGAAATGAATACCCTTTCAGACAAAACTCTACACCTCGAACTAATTGTTAACTCATATAATTATTGTTATGTCTCTGTCTGGGTTGTTGGCAATATTTTATGTATTTATTTGCCGAACAAGTGTTGTCAATACGCCACCATTTTAGTGATGTGTTAGGGTTCGTAGGGAGAACTCCGGAAGCCCGACAACTTGTTAATGTTATTAACAATACGTGCTTGTGGACAAACATGTTGCGTTGTTCTCTTGCAACAACAACAGAGTTATGGTGCAGTGGTGATTTGGATGGTGATGTGGAAGTGATGGTGATGTGGAAGTGATGGTGATGTGGAAGTGATGCTGATGTGGAAGTGATGGTGATGTGGAAGTGATGGTGCAGTGGTGACTTGGATGGTGATGTAGAAGTGATGGTGATGTAGAAGTGATGCTGATGTGGAAGTGATGCTGATGTGGAAGTGATGCTGATGTGGAAGTAATGCTGATGTGGAAGTGATGGTGATGTGGAAGTAATGCTGATGTGGAAGTGATCACCCGACAAAGGTCATTATATGTTGCATGAGTAATTATTTGTAATACAATATGAGCTAGAAATTATGTTAGGCAATTCAATAACGATGGATTGAATTACGAGAGCTGGGGTACGCGAGACACGATCATATATATGCAATGCACAGCTGGAGCACGTGTCTATTGAGATTTTTTGCATGCAAGTAAAACTGGGGATATTTCAACACAGGGCAAATGTTTATAGTGTTTTACTTTAACCGTATAGGCACGTGAAAATACAGTATGTGGCTTTGTGTTTAATAAATGAAACTTAGGCGATGTTATGAGCGGTTTTTGAATATCAGAGCAACTATAGTCTCTTGGACAGGCAACAATAAATTGGTTGCGTACATCAGTTCTTGATTATCATCTCATTTTATTAATGAACGATAATATGAGGTTCATACCTCAATATTCATATTGCATGCATGTTGGAAGGTCAACGTGTAATTATACCTGCGAGGCAGCATGCATATATAGTCCAGGGTCACGCTCACGGGTCCTATCATCAGCATCTGGCCGATAAATTTATTAGTACTTGAACAATGACCCGTACCCAAAATTTCCACTTACAAAGCGATATAAATAAATATATAGTGGATAATTACACTCGGTAAATTAAAAAAATTTTTCAAGTTACATTCAAATTTAAGTAGCACAGGAATGGGAAGTAGTGCAAGCATACATACCTCTCACTATGCTTATAAATGCACGGTTTATACCTAATAACAGCAAGGAATACAAGTTAACACATTAATAATTCCTTAACTAGCGTCGTCACCTGGGCGTCTGAATCCCTGACGATGAACCGCTCGACCTGCGGGTCCCCCATGGGTGACGACTAGTTGAGTGGGGTATCGAATAGACTATAGAGTAACTTGACTTGAATTATCCTAATCACAAACTCCGGAATTCATTATCTATTAAACTACAATCTTTATAATTCTACAACCCACACTCACCTGGGCATCTGAGTCCCTGACGATGAAACGCTCGACCTGCGGGTCCCCCATGGGTGACGAGCGCCACAGCATTGGGTTCAACATCGACACGTCACCCAGAGGCTCAGGCAGGTTCTCGGCATCACACAAGGCCAAGTTGGGATACTTCATCAACAGAGGACAGAAAAAGGAGTAGTGTTCTTTAGGGAGTGTGTGAATGCGGATATTCCAACCCGGATACAATTTCTGAATATCTCTAATTATAAACACTAATCCTTTGTAATACTTTTGATTTTTTCCATACACGGAGAAAGATACAACTTTCTGCTTGTTCCCGAGCAGCGACGCTCGTCGTCCACAGCTTCCGCTCAGAGGAACAAAATTGCTGCCATTGTAAGGGGCGACACGATGTTCTACTGCATGACTGGGGTGCTTTACGTTGTCTGTGAGCTCACTGCAGCTGGTAATGTTTGTTCGCTCCCACCACGGCAGCTCAACGTCGTCATATATTGGAGGAGCAATGAGACCATCTTTTTTTGCTCTAAATAGCATTCGGCGAGACGCTCTTTCATTGTTCCAATAATAATTGAAAGTGGCTGAATTGGAGTCAAGTAACTGGCTTTGCTTCAATGTGAAAACTACCAAGAGACAGATTGGAGCAGCGAACAGCAGCTTTCGCCGTTGCTTTTCATTCCCAAACATCTGACCGAATTCTCAAGTCCAATAATTCTGTATGAAAATGTTCCAAAAGAAATAAATAAATTTTTTTTATTCAAGAAATAATCGGTGATTATTCACGGTCGGGAAAACTCACGCGATAAAATAAAGTTTCCACAATAAATAATATCATAAAAGTGTATTTAGTCCAATAAAAAAAATTTATTTCGCCCGCGAAATTTAAACAAGAAATGAAGACCCAAATCATGCGGCTCGTTACTAGTCGCCAGCAGCACGGAGTCGGCGCGTCGCTTCACGACAACCTCCCGCGACTGACTGCCGGCAGTTGACCTGGTCGGACGAACTTATTGATTTCTGTAGGCATCAGATGTTGCTTTACCCTGACCCTTATATGCATCTCTTTCTCACTAGTGATTAATGTAGCTCTAGATGCTTCAAGGAAAATTTCAAATACTGGAAAGCGCGGGCTCATTTAACCACGAAAAAAATGTTAGTGATATTAACTTTTCAATTTCAAAATGAATTTACATTTAAACCTTTTCCAAAAAAGCAATCGTTTGAAATACAATTTAAAACAAGACATTTAAACAATATAAGGTACTATATCGTGAGAGTTTGAGAGCAATTGTTCACGTTCTCAATTTGTAATCAAGAAAACCGTTCTCGGCCAATGACTCTTAGTAATCCTATTGCAATCGCGTGCTGCTTTTCGCTGCTGCCGCGCCAGGGAATTCAGGCAAGGTCAAATGACCATCAATGCAGATAACGTCGCAACAGTACTTCACTCTTTGTCTACGTGTACAATAATCGGTGTCAATGCTACTCGTACATAAAGGCCTAGGACCGAGAGGTTACCTCAGTACCCTAGAATTATTAAGTCGACGGCCTTCAACTATAAACTCAATTTATAAAAACGATCTATATTTTATTAACTCAACTAAACCACATCGCGCTCATAACATTCTTACCACTATTATGATTTTTAGTGACTAGCGGCGAGATATGTGCAGTGTCTGCTAAGTGGCGACTTATGTGTCATTGACGGTAGGTTTAGATTTCACTTAAAAAATTAGCAATCAAACGGAGTCAAAGTAAAATGAAAATGACATGGGTGATAGAAAACTATTGATAACTGGCAAGATAATTCGTGACACGGAGAATGAGCGGATTAATTATTTAATATTAAAGCTCAAATTACGTCTCTTTATTATTTACTTTTACTTTAATTACGTCCAATTACGTCTTTACGTATGGGCTGATAACTGTCAAAGTGGCCTTGGAATAAAAGAGAACCGATGGAATGACGCGCTCAAGGCCATAGAACACTCTGACCAGTTAATGATATTAAACCCATGTTAATTAATCCTGAAACAATGATGAGCATTAGTGGAAAAAATAACGGCAAATTGGTAAAGCATGCATGTTACCAACCCGTTTGGCTGAATCATGAATGGCATCTTAGACATGGAATGTATAACACCGCTTTAACGCAAGTAATAATGATAAGATAATTTAATAATGTTTACTTATACTAAAGGTTTTACTTTTGCTATTCGTTTATAGAGATTTTATTAGTTATTTATGAGACGACCCTATAAGCTCGACACCGAAGTTTGGTCCACTAGTAGTCTATTAGCGTCATGCCTATACGTATACTGTATACTACTATGCATGCTTATACGTATACTGTATCTATATAGGAACACAGGTAACTCGAGTTGTACAATAAGTATCACGGACCGAAAACGCAATGAAGTTGAAGCAACACAAGCACAGTATTAAGCTTTATATATAGCAATTTAATGTACAGATTAACAATTTAAAGTATGGAGCAAAATTTTAATTAAGTTAACAAAAAAATTAATCAACGCGCAGACAAACTAATGGTTCTAATGCACAAAATCGCAGCGCTACCCAAAGTGTTTACTTTTAAACTTAGGATCGATGAGCGAGCTTTTCTTGAACACCCGGTGAACCAACCTACGCAAAGCATTCCTACTCTATAGTATAACAATTACTTGATTTATATTTTTGCAATCTTTTAGGATGGAATTAAATTTTTCAGTTTTTACCTCGCTATTGTGACATCAGAGCGAGACTATTACGAGACGAGTTATTGAGACTATTAACAATAAATTAGCTCAACTTGATACATGTGTCGCATTGATGAACAGGTTAGAAGGGTACCTACGCCTATGCAGACAAGCTGAACAAAAAAGTTCTGGTATCATAAATATGATATAGAATTGATATCATAGATTGTTTTCTGCTTTATTCTTGATTATTATGGAAACCAATGTAACAATTTAGCACTCTAAACAATTTTTGTGTTGACAGATGGCTTTTCACTTAGCAGTTTTAGGAACAGTTTGAGAAAAACGTCTTCTCGTGAGTCGGAGCCGTTGCGTATACGTAGGCTATTTCCGGCGCCACGTACGAATGCGCCCAGCTAAATGTTCACTTCCTAATTACGTGACGTGAATATTAATATTAGAACGTAGGTAAAGCTTGAGTCATATTTCTGCTGAAATTCGGAGATTACGCGTCTTTACGGGAGTGAATTAATAGCTGGACGCAGACTATGCGCCAGCAGTTGCCCCTTTTTGTCTGGCTGGTGCTATAAGATTGCTCATATAGGTCCTGTTGATAATACAACAAATTGTTAATGTAGTTAATTTATTAGTATTATTAAATCCTGTTTATTAGTAAATTTTTATTAAATTTTGTTAATATAGTAACAAATGTAATTGTTAATGATAATGTAGGGAAAATATCCCAGAATTTATGACCGTTTTCTCTTTGCTTTGCAACTCACACACGGGCCATTCAATAATTAATTCACGGGCTCATAAATTTTGTATTGTTGCATGATATTTGTGAACGTTCATGTTAATTCATGTGTGAATGCTGCATGTATTCATGAATGTATATTTATGAACATAGATTCATGCGAATAAAAATAAACTTGCAGAAGTAGTTTTTTCTTCTAATTTGCGCCCCATTAAACAACTACTTTTGTTATGCATTCTGTCTACCGCGTCACGTCGACATCTATGGCTTCGATTGATCAGGTCACGTCCTGTCGAACGATTCACGTGCAGACGAGACAACGGAAACTCGCGGCGTCCGTTTATCACGACCTCATCACGAAAATGTTGTACGCACGCATTTGTGCTATTCGTGTTTTTCGCACGCAAAGAATTCGTCACGATATCAAGGATGCTGTTCGAACAACTCGCTTCCGAAGCATTCGGTCATCTATATTCGAAGCCGGACCAATAGAGTAAAAATATAACTCAGTACTCACTGCAGTGAGTGACAGAAAGCGCAGTTTCTCGTCGACGGAAACATGAAGTCACGGACGGACAGACAGACGGACAGACGGACATGGCGAGCACAATAGTGCATTTTTTCATAAATGAGAAAATGCGCTAAAAATCACGCCCAGCACATGCGCGAGTGAATATATTTTACTGTAAGGTAGTCCCAGTGAACTGACGTACAGACATGATATTGAGACATTAATTTCTGATCTCAAATTTTTATATTTTTAGTGTGGTAATGAGAATCCTCGAAGATTGTATTCATCAACGCGGATAGCATGTGAGAAAATGAAAATTAAGTAATAGTATCTCGAAGATCTAGTGCAAGCAGCATTTTATTTCTCATATTATTATTTCATGTCTTTAATCAAAACTATCTTTGTTTGCTAATTTTATTAATATAAAGAATGCAGTTAGAGAGAAGATAACAATTTAAATTTCAGAAGAATTGTACAGCTGTCAGCCAATTTATGGTTTGGGAGATTCAACTTGCATGACGGCCTCAAATAAGCTTCCTCTCCCATTGTGTACGTGTGCAATTTGAGAAGAATCGTACCTCTAGGGTCTAGGCCAGCAAGATGCAACTTTATCGCAAGATGTTAAATAACACAATTAATTTATATGAAATTTTGAGTATAGTAATATCATCACTATGAATCTAATTGCTGTCAACTGTTCAGAGAGGTAAAATTTGCTGGCATGTTTATCGTACAGGAAGGGTGTGTTATGTGCATGCATAGTGGTTCGACGTTATTGAATTCGCTCTACTAGATTTCAAAAAATTTTAAAAAATATAGAGAAATTTTACAACAGGCGTCCTGCTGAAACTATTTCTAGCGTCATAACACTCAGAAAGATATATTGGAAAGACCAGGCGAGGCATAAATTGTAATATAAGGCTCTTCAAATACTTCGACTGGCCGAATAGTCAAAATCTGATCCAAAATAGCAACCTATGCCACTGTCCAACCGCAATAAATCGAACATTCACTCATGTCATCGCGGCCTTGTGACTTAGTGCCCAAGTTATTTGTGACGTAGGGTCCGGTCATAACTGTGAGTAAAAATGTTTTCCTTCCACGCGTTGTTATATATAGTGGCCTAGCACCTACCTATCGAAGTTATGTTTCCGGAGAGTGACATAAGGCGATAGAGGGTTAAAACCCAAAATACGGTAAATATTCCATCTTTGCAGCTTAAAAGCTCATTTGACATACATTATTTCACGATAGAACTCACTTTTTCCCGCTGAATACAGCAAGATTGAAAGTCCGTAATACCATTTTCAGGAAAACATGACAAGTAAGCCATCAACCAAATTACAACTTTAAACAATTGTATAACAAAGACGCAAGGATATGCTGGGTAAGCTTACAAAAGATCAATTCGTTGTAATTGCCCTTAATTACATCGACCATTAGCTGAGTGGCAGCCATTACCAGACAGTGTCCTCCGGCCCATCATGTTTCCCGTTTATTTCTTTTCCACTCGACAAAACTGTTTAGCTTAAAATAAGCTTAAGCTAAAGCTTTAGCTTAAAATAAGACTAGTTGCAGTAAATAAAGTTGAGTTTAAGTTTGAGCCGTTTACAGGAGGTCAATTTTTAAGGAGGTCAATTTTTGTAACACCGGTTTAGCTTAAAATAAGACTAGTTGCAGTAAATAAAGTTGAGTTTAAGTTTGAGCCGTTTACAGGAGGTCAATTTTTAAAAAATACTTTCGAAGATGACACAAAACCATCGTGTTGATCTGCACTGTTTACATTTGTGCCCAAAGTGACGTCACTCGAGACATGCGCAGAACGGCAAAAACTTTGTGCAACCATGGTTCACCACATCATGGACTTCACTCGCGTACGGTTTTCGTCCACACGTAGAAAAAATGTTTTTTTTCTTTTTTTTTTTGCTGCGCCTTCTATTTTGGTCAGCGTTAGTTATCGCTTCACTCTGCGGCTTGCGGTCGATTTATTTTCTC